AGTGTCATTATTCCCTACACGCTTTAAAATAATGGTTCTTTATTGGCATCTATGGTTCCAAGAAGAAACTTTAACATATGGAACCTTTCTGATGCACAAAAAGGTTCTCTATAGTGGCAAAAGGTGGACTTCTTCTTCTTCTTCTTTAGATTATTTAAGTTTCTTTTATGAAGTTGCTGAGAAAAACTGTTTTTAAGAGTGTATATTTTGAAAAAACGTTAGGTTGTTGAGGAAGAACGTGATATGGACAAGGGTCAACCAGATTTTTGGAGGCTCTTGTAGGACCAACCCCAAAAGATTTTGGATTAAAAATATAAATGACATCTTGCCTCATCCAACAGCTTTATTAAGTTCCTTAATATAAATAAACTAACACACACTTATTCTCCTCATCTTCACTTAGGTTTTGGTTTCTGAAGTTCATCACCATGCTTGGAATGATTGCTGTTGCCTTCTTTATTCCCACAGAATCCTTTTTGCATGGTGAGCTGATCATATTACATATTATATATAATATATATTATATTTCTGATAAATAATATATAGAGATCCACTGATATCAAAATGCAGACTGATACCAATAAATCCAATAATAACACTACCGTTCAAAAGTGGGGGCGGGGTCAGAATTTGTTTTTGTTTTTTTGACAAAAAAAATTTATTTTGTTTGACAAAAAAAAATGTATGACACTGTAGACTGGATTCATGGCCGCTGTAAATTCAGCTTTTACAGGAATGTTACATTTTTTAAATATATCAAAATAGAAAATCATTTTAAAGTGTTTTAAATAATATTTCACAGTATTACTGTTTTTATGAGAGAATTCTTTCAAAAACGTTCAAAATCTTACTGACCCCAAACTTTTGAACGGCTGTGCATGTTATGGCCAAGGCTATAATTAAGTCATGATCCATTAGAATTCTATACTACTATGTCTACATAATCAAAGATAAAACACTAAAAGCTAAAATAAATCATGTGAAACACAACAAGTGAATTTAGACATCACAACATTATAATGTACAGTATAAAATTTGATATTCATTTGGAATTGTTTGCTAAATATTGCATTTAACAATGTAAATTAAATTAGCTTTAAAGATTCACTTTAAATGAGTGTCACATGATGGTAAAGACAATCTAAATGTAAAAAATAGGGGAGATGAGAATGCACACTTAAATTAACATTGATACCAATAAATCAATCTCTAAATTTGGCAGCCAATTGGCAACCAATACGATACCAATACATTGCGCATCAGAACTGATATGGGAAAAGAAGTATATCGATCAAAACATGGTAAGTGTAGTGAATAGTCTGTAACTAGAGTGATTATGCGCCTAATGTGATTATGTTACAGGCTCATGGCGAGTCTCTGGCCAGTCTGGATAATGTGAATTGCATTTTTTATTTAAATCCACCAGGTGGCATTATAGACACACTGGATATTTTACATTAGCGCACAAAGTGGGGATTCACTCCGTGGGCCTCATTTATGAAAGATAACCTGAACACAATTCTTTGAAAAGAATTTGTGTGCAAACTGTTATATTCAGTTCAGTGGTACATTAACGTACAAATGGTTCTACGTATGATTTTGCTCTTCTCATGATTTATAAATAAAGCCCAGTGTCCCATAAATCTCAGTTCACTGGATTTCAATATCTTATTTTCATTTATTTTCTCCTCTTTTTCCTCTCTCCATGTAGCCTGGCATTATGTTGGAGTAGTGGGAGGCTTTGCTTTTATCCTCATTCAACTCATTCTCATCACTGCTTTCGCTCATACCTGGAATAAAAACTGGTGAGTGAGGAAACTGGGTTCACACAGACAGATGTTCTCTTGAGGCAAACCTGCACTAACCAACAATAACTACTGTAGGAAGACACCCATTACCAGACTATGAAGAACCACATCTGGTTCATGTCTGAGTCACATCTCGCTCTGGAATGATAAAATATCACCCTCTACATTTTTAGAGTTTTAGATAATCTTTGTCCTTTCCTGTTTCTTGCTCCGGTATCTCACTTATTCATATACACACATACAAACACGCATTCAAACTTATCTCCCCGTTTACCCTCTGACTTCCAGCTTTTCCCAGCTGTTTGTGGAGTCTACTTCTAGCCGTTTTCAGGCTGAAAGTCATCTTAAAGGGGTCATATGATGCGATTTCAAGTTTTCCTTTCTCTTTGGAGTGTTACAAGCTGATTACTTAAACACACACACACACACACACACACACATATATATATATATATATATATATATATATAAAAATATATATATTCTTGTCTTGTATTATAATATATAAAAATATGGTCCTCTGGCCTATTGGCGTTGTTTTTTGTATCGAAATCATATTAGTGAAAGATAAGAAATTTAAGTATATCCTCCTGACTACCAGGGAGTTTTAAAAAATGATATTGATATTTTATTCATATGTTATGCTATGTCCTCTGTAGAGAACACCAGGACTTTAAAAAGTCCTGTTTTAAAAAAAATAAAAAGACATGAATAGACATGAAAAGGCAAAAACAGTGGGATTTTTGTTTTAATCAGAAATCAGTTTTCATTTTGTATACCAAACTTTATATAAAGACGATTCTCAACTATGTTATGAAAGATATTTTTAAAAAACATTTTTCTTTATGCAAAATGTGTGTTTTTCCATTATATACAATGTATCTATAAACTGTATAATTTGCATATTAATGTGTTTTTGGGGCAACATAGAACGAACACATAAGTGCAATAATGGGAGTTTTTGGGGCAACATAGAATGAACAAATAAGTGCAATAATGGGAGTAATAATTAGCAAGATTTTCATAATAATATCTCATATTTAATAGGAATATTGATACATAATTTTTTCTCCCAAAATGTGTAATAAACATGCTTTAAGTCCTAGTGTCCTCTACAGTGGACATGTATGAAATCGACATCCTGTTTCATAACAGAAGGTCATATTTTGATTTGAATATTAAATTGTTTATCACATTGATTTAAATAGGATAATCTTGTACCATATTGATATAAAAATACAAAGATTAAGAAAATATATTCCATTCATTGCTATTAACAGCATGAAGTGCATTAAACATTACATTATATTGTCAAGGTTACCCAAACGGGTTTGTGAAGGAACTGCAGGAGGTGTGTGAGTTCAATGAAAAGCTAATAATTAATTAAATCATAAAAATGTTAAATTAAAATCAATCATTTTAAAATCAATCAAAATAATACACGTAGGCCTACTAAAAAAATTATTTTGTTTGTTTACCTGCATGTCATGTGACCATAACCAACAGAGATTCATGAGCATGCAAATGTGATACTTTATTATTAAAATATTTATTATATAAGTCTCAGGGTTACTTCAAGTAAATATATTAGGCGAAAGATGATCTGATAACAAAAAAAGTTTGTGAATTTGTGCATTTTAATGTGTTTGAAAGACACACATCTTCCAAAGACATAGAAATGCATGGGTAAATAACCTCCTGAGTGATAATTCTAATAAAAATTAATTTGTTCATCAGTAGTTAGTTGATGGAAAGTTAAAACACTTCTTAAACCTGAAATTATTTTTGTAAATCCAGTGGTCCACAAAACTGGAAGACTTTCTGAGTGTATATTAGCGGGCTAATTTAGAAAGGAAAATTTAAAAGATGGAAAAGAGGAATTAAGGAGAATCGATCAATGAATTATGAATAATTTATTGCTATTGTGTAAATTATATGTAATCATGTAAAATAATGATCTTTAAAAAAAGCATCATATGACCCCTTTAACACAATGGAATTGTGAATTCTCCTTTTCGATTTAGACATGAGGCGTCATTGATCACACCCCGTCTCTGCCCTGCCTCTCATTCCCAGGTTAACCGGTGCAGCTGCAGGAGGTGTGTGAGTTCAATGAAAAGCTAATAATTAATTAAATCATAAAAATGTTAAATTAAAATCAATCATTTTAAAATCAATCAAAATAATACACGTAGGCCTACTAAAAAAATTATTTTGTTTGTTTACCTGCATGTCATGTGACCATAACCAACAGAGATTCATGAGCATGCAAATGTGATACTTTATTATTAAAATATTTATTATATAAGTCTCAGGGTTACTTCAAGTAAATATATTAGGCGAAAGATGATCTGATAACAAAAAAAGTTTGTGAATTTGTGCATTTTAATGTGTTTGAAAGACACACATCTTCCAAAGACATAGAAATGCATGGGTAAATAACCTCCTGAGTGATAATTCTAATAAAAATTAATTTGTTCATCAGTAGTTAGTTGATGGAAAGTTAAAACACTTCTTAAACCTGAAATTATTTTTGTAAATCCAGTGGTCCACAAAACTGGAAGACTTTCTGAGTGTATATTAGCGGGCTAATTTAGAAAGGAAAATTTAAAAGATGGAAAAGAGGAATTAAGGAGAATCGATCAATGAATTATGAATAATTTATTGCTATTGTGTAAATTATATGTAATCATGTAATCCATAAAAAGTAACTGTAGTCTGATTACAAGTATTTAAAAATGTAATTTAATTTAATTACAAGTACTTAATTTTTGGAATCTGATTACGTAATCCAGATTACATGTATTCAGTTACTGTATATGGTGTTTATATACATATGGGCTCAACACTCACTCTGACAGAGGAACTGGTCACTGGTGATGTTGTGCTGTCTTCAGATCCTCACATTCGACAAATTCAGAATGTTTTTATAGGCTTTTTTAATTTGTCTTTTGCTCTGTTTAATCATTCTGAATGGATCCTTGTATTTATATACAGTCAGGTTAAGGCGACTGGTTTAGTGGTCTGTTGACATCTCCGTGTGGTCCTGTTTGGTATTGCAGCTTGACTTGTAGTTATAGAAAATGCTCTAATGTGAATTTGTTTCCCTCACAGTTTCATAAATCGTGAATTATGAGAATTAAAAAACATTTATCTATCTTGAGAATCATCCTCAAACTTAATCTTGAACTTGGTAAAACAATTTTCTTTATTTAAAATGTTTCAAGTCATAATATTTTTAAATCATAAATCATACCGGGATGTATGCAAACATTTTAGGATGTGGCGCCCTACCTAGAAAATTTTACACCAGTCGCCACGGGACAAACCCCAATTCAGACTACTCTCCCTCCGCTCTTTTCTGCTTGCAAATACTGATTTGTCAAATATTAATATAAAAATGTAGCCCAATTTATTTATTAAAACCAGGTCATGAAGTAATTCCATCCAATGCCAGTATTATAGACAGTTTATTATATACAAGAGTTCCTTAAAAAAAAATAAACAAACTTGATGTGCAGCATCATAAATAGTATTGTTAACTAAACCCCTCAAGCCATTTTGAAGCAGAAAGTCATCTTAACACAATGGAATTGTGAATTCTCTTTTCAATTTAGATGTGAGGCATCACTGAACTCACCCTGCCTCTCATTCCCAGGTTAACCGGTGCAGCTGAGAATAAGAGGTGGTACGTGGCAGTCATGTGTGCTACCCTCTTTTTCTACACCATCGCCACCATGGCCTTCACATTCATGTACAAATACTACACTCACCCAGCTGGATGCCACCTGAACAAAGCCCTGCTAAGGACTAACCTGGCCCTCTGCACCATCATGTCTTTTATTGCGGTCACTCCCTGTGTGCAGCAAAGTTAGTGCTAAATTTTTCATCCGTTTCTGTTCTCTCACCAAAACAATAGTTTAGTAGTTTATATCAGCAGTTTAGATATAAACAAATCAAGAAAAGATAAAGGTTTTGTGGGAATACTCTTGCAACAATTCGACCATAAGGTTCATCTAAATCAAGTATGACTAGTCATTTAAGGTGACAGTTTGTTTTGCTGTCCCTCTCAGAGCAGCCCCGCTCAGGACTCCTGCAGGCTTCCATCGTCAGGTTAAGGCGACTGGTTTAGTGGTCTGTTGACATCTCCGTGTGGTCCTGTTTGGTATTGCAGCTTGACTTGTAGTTATAGAAAATGCTCTAATGTGAATTTGTTTCCCTCACAGTTTCATAAATCGTGAATTATGAGAATTAAAAAACATTTATCTATCTTGAGAATCATCCTCAAACTTAATCTTGAACTTGGTAAAACAATTTTCTCATCTAAATCAAGTATGACTAGTCATTTAAGGTGACAGTTTGTTTTGCTGTCCCTCTCAGAGCAGCCCCGCTCAGGACTCCTGCAGGCTTCCATCATTTGCTGCTATGTCATGTACCTGACCTTCTCTGCTCTATCCAGCTGCCCACCAGAGAAGGGTAAGTCGGAAAGATTGCTTGTCATATGCAGGACTGTTTCAGGTCTTAAGGCATGATACTACAGGTAAAGCCATTGTTGTTTCATGCACTGATAAATTTTAGGATTTTGGGCTATTTTGCTCTCATAACATGTCTTCTTTCAGACTAAGTGGAAAGAAAACATCCTAAATACACTATTTGCGTCAGCAGATTTCAATTACAATGCATCTTTAAAGGCTATTTTCTCGACATAAGTCACTTCAGATGCTGGTTGTTGACAGCATTTTCTGATTTAAGAACAGATATCCAACATCCCCCATTTAAAAACCCTTGACTCTTAATATATCAACAAAATGAAACAAGTATTTTGAACCTTCTGTTCTGGAAATATATGCAAATTAGACTATTTTGCTCTGTTTAATCATTCTGAATGGATCCTTGTATTTATATACAGTCAGGTTAAGGCGACTGGTTTAGTGGTCTGTTGACATCTCCGTGTGGTCCTGTTTGGTATTGCAGCTTGACTTGTAGTTATAGAAAATGCTCTAATGTGAATTTGTTTCCCTCACAGTTTCATAAATCGTGAATTATGAGAATTAAAAAACATTTATCTATCTTGAGAATCATCCTCAAACTTAATCTTGAACTTGGTAAAACAATTTTCTTTATTTAAAATGTTTCAAGTCATAATATTTTTAAATCATAAATCATACCGGGATGTATGCAAACATTTTAGGATGTGGCGCCCTACCTAGAAAATTTTACACCAGTCGCCACGGGACAAACCCCAATTCAGACTACTCTCCCTCCGCTCTTTTCTGCTTGCAAATACTGATTTGTCAAATATTAATATAAAAATGTAGCCCAATTTATTTATTAAAACCAGGTCATGAAGTAATTCCATCCAATGCCAGTATTATAGACAGTTTATTATATACAAGAGTTCCTTAAAAAAAAATAAACAAACTTGATGTGCAGCATCATAAATAGTATTGTTAACTAAACCTATTAAGCTAACTATTTATTAAAAACTGTTTTTGTTCATTTAAATAAAGTTATTTAGGTAACTATTAAAATTGTTTTCGTTGAATAAATAAGGCTAAAATAAAGCAAAACAAAACATGAATATTAAATGGGCATAAGTGTTAAACTTAAAAATTATATGGTATTATATGGCACCATATACTGTATGGTGCATGCTTAACATACGACAGAGATGAAAGAGATTTCCAGAAAGAAAAGCTTTGGTGCCTGAGGTCATAGAAAAGCTATGTAGTATGTAACACAGATGTAGCTAAGGGTGTTTCACGTGGGTATTTGAAATGCAGATGTTATACGGATGGTAAAGTTCAGAGAAGAAGAATTACAGCCGTTGATGTAAAAGGATTGCAGAATAATTCTTTAGGATTTTGGATTTAGTATGATTTACATAATGCCTGATGAAGCGCTTTTGGCTTGAAATATCATGTTTGTAGTGGGATTAATATGGCAGTATTGTTGCTTCTAGAGAAACAGTGTACTGACTTCTTGTGCCTTTTTTTTTCATTTTGGTGAATGGCGCCGTGTGTGTATATGTGTGTTTGTTGTGTCCTGTCTTGTTCCCTAACTATCAGCGGCTTTATAGCCTTTGTTTGCTGCATGACTTCATAAAGGACTGAAGTGCACCCTGAGGCATGCTGGGAGGTTAATCCCATCTCAGAGGAATTCTCTCAGACACATAACACACAGTATCCACAGACCTCTAAAGCATCTCTAAATCAGCAGCAATGGACTCAAGAAATCCTAAATGAAGCGTGTAAATGTGACACTAAATGTAATTAGTCGTTTTCAATTAGCTGTTTTCAAACAACTGAGCATTTGCTGTTAATGGAACAGGAATTTACAGGGCATGATTCTGAAACCCTGAATGATGAGTTTGTGGAAAACGAATCCAGAAACTTAATTCACATAAGGGCAAGATAAATGTGTGATGACTAACACCAGCTTTTGTGTGTTCTTTCAGTGGAGTATCAGGGGGTCAACATGACGGTGTGCTACCCTAAAGTCAGCAGGGATGAGATTCAAAATGAAGGCAATGCTGTGGCCATTATTGGGGCTGCAATCATGTACTGCTGTGTTCTCTTTGCATGGTGAGTAAAAACATATTGAGTTATTAATAATTAGGATATTAATAAAATGGCTAACTGCTGATTATCTCTCACAGCAATGAGGCTTCATACTTAGCTGAGGTCTTTGGACCTTTCTGGATGATAAAGGTTTACCGCTACGAGTTTCAGGTATGTGACTTTCTCAGAATTTCTTATAATTATTTTTGTGATTTGAGCTGTTTAACTCTTAAAGGGACAGTCCACCACCCAAAAAAAAAAAAAAAAAAGGCAATTGAGAGTGGTAAATAGAAAGCTCAAAAATTTGGAGAAGCAAGAGGCTAAAGTAAATGAACAAGCACCTAACGCCCCCCCCCCAAAAAAAAAAAAAAAAAAAAACCCCTGAAATTCTGTCATCATTTACTCGCACTCGTGTAGTTCCAAACCTGTATGAGTTTCTTTCTTCTGTGCACAAAAAAAGGTATTTTGCCCATATAATGGAAGCTAATGGGAACCAAAACTGTTTGGGTACCAACATTTTTCAACATATCTTCTTTTGTGTTTCACAGAAGAAAGAAACTCATACAGGTTTGGAAATACATGAGCGTGAGCAAACTATGACAGAATTTTCATTCTTGGGTGAAATAACCTATTAAAATCACAGAATCATTGTACTTAAATATATTGTCTTTGAATTAACATCTCTGACAATGTCTCTCACTCTGTCCTGAACAGAAAGCCTCCTGTTGCTTCTGCTACCCAGAGGCTGAAGATGGTGAGAATATCACAAGTTCCAATATCCATAGATTTCACAAACATATTAATGTCATTATACTGTATGAGATAGAAGGTATTAACATCTTTGTTTCTGTCCTGTCAGAGGAAGAGTTTGTCATTGATGAGAACAAAGGCTGTCAGAAAGTCATCCACAATGAAAACCAGTGCGTTGCCTACAGCTACTTTTTCTTCCATTTTGTTTTCTTTCTGGCTTCCCTCTACGTAATGATGACCCTCACTAATTGGTTCAGGTCAGTTGTTAAAGTACACCTCTGAACTGTTCTGGAGATAAGAGTAGAAAGCACTGGAACACCCAAGAGTTTTCATATTTAGTCTTATTTACTGTGGATGGAACCATGTGTACAAGCACAGACACACAACTATCTAAACAGAGATGTCATATAAAAATAAAAAAAGGCTGATATATAGGCCTATACACTACTGTTCAAAAGTTTGGTTGGTAAGATTGAAAGTCAAGGCTGCATTTATTTGACAAAAACACAGTAAAACAATAATATTGTGAAATATTATCACATTTAAAATAACTGTTTTCTATTTTAAATTTTAATTTAAAATGTATTCATGTGATGGCAACGAGATAAGAGTAGAAAGCACTGGAACACCCAAGAGTTTTCATATTTAGTCTTATTTACTGTGGATGGAACCATGTGTACAAGCACAGACACACAACTATCTAAACAGAGATGTCATATAAAAATAAAAAAAGGCTGATATATAGGCCTATACACTACTGTTCAAAAGTTTGGTTGGTAAGATTGAAAGTCAAGGCTGCATTTATTTGACAAACACACAGTAAAACAATATTGTGAAATATTATCACATTTAAAATAACTGTTTTCTATTTTAAATTGTAATTTAAAATGTATTCATGTGATGGCAACGCTGAATTTTCAGCAGCCATTACTCCAGTCTTTAAAAAAATTAAAAAGGGATTAAAAACTATTTAATAATTTCTAAATGTTGTGCATTATTGCACTTTTAAATATTGTAGAAGGTGTTAATATTTGTCATCAAAGAAAGTTTACCAGAGAGAAAAATATATATATTGGGGGTCCTTGGGTTGGGTCCAGCACAGCTGCACAGTTTAAAACCTCCTGTTATAGACTTGCCTGAGTCTGAAAAAAAAAATGTTTTAGAGATAAATAGATGAATATTTTTGCTTATATCTTTTTCCTTTTGATAACATCTCTAAAAGATTTTTTTTCTTTTTCAGTTTGATCATTTCAGACAAATGTACAGTGGTATAGAAAATAATCACCCCCTTTAAAATAATCACATTTTGTTGCTTTGTAGCCTGAAGTGAAGACGGACACAGTTTTTGTTTTATCCAGCTGTATTTACTCAGTGCAACTTATAACATCCAAGTGAAAGATAAAAACATCATGTCAAAAAACAAACAAACAGAATCACTAGTTTTTGTTTTATCCAGCTGTATTTACTCAGTGCAACTTATAACATCCAAGTGAAAGATAAAAACATCAACATGTCAAAAAAAAACAAAACAGAATCAGAGTATGAAAAAGGATAATCCCCTAGTGTCAGTATTTTGTTGAACCACCTTTTGCTTTAATTACAGCCTTTAGTCTGTTGGGATTTGTCTCTATTAATTTTGCATATCTAAACTTTGCAATATTTGCCCACTCTTCTTTGCAGAACTGCTCAAGTTCAGTTTAATTTGATCAAGTTCAGTTTCAATTTTAGTCTCATCTGCCTCAGAATCTTCAAGGTGTGTTTTGGCAAAGCTCAGTCTGACTGCATGTAGCTTTTCTTGAGGAGTGGCTTTTTTCTTGCAACCCTCCCATACAAACCACATTTGTGATATTGTTGTCACATGCACACAATGACCACTCTTTGTCATAAATTCCTGCAGCTGCTTCAGAGTTGATGTAGGCCTCTTGGTCGCCTCTCTGACCTGTTTCCTCCGGCTCTTTCATCCAGTTTGGAGGGACGTCCTGATCCAGGGAGGGTCTGTGTTGTACCAAATACCTTCCACTTCTTAATAATAGACTTCACTGTGCTTCTATAGGCATTGATAGAGTCTTTGACATTTATTTGTAACCATCTCCTGACTAGTGCCTGTCTCTTTTCATGCTGAGCTACTCAAAATGACCACAGCTGATCACAGATGGAAGTCAAATAGCTTTTTGTGCCATTAAGGTGATTAGCTACACCTGATTGAGTTTACAAGTCATTTTTAGGAGGGGGTGATCCTTTTGCCAACTCTAACATGTTGGTGTTATATCTTTCACTTGGATGTTATAAGTTGCACAGAGTAAATACAGCTGGATAAAACAAAAACTGTGTCCATCTTCATTTCAGGCTGCAAAGCAACAAAATGTGATTATTTTAAAGGGGGGTGATTCTTTTCTACACCCACTGTACATGAAAGTGAAGCGGGCTCGAATCACAATTTTGATAATACTATTCTGTCTCCCCCAGTTATGAGACTGCTGTGCTGGAGACCACCTTCACCCATGGGAGTTACTCCACATTCTGGGTCAAGCTGTCCTCCTGCTGGGCATGTGTGGTTCTGTATCTGTGGCTCCTCCTGGGTCCCCTGTGCCACTGCCAGTCTGATCACAAACAACCTCGCCGCGCTCGCATCAAGAGACGGGCTGCCTCCCACCGCCACGTTAGCGTTAGCGTGTGAATTACAGACTGTTCAACGGTGTCAAAGACATTGGGGCTGGGTGCAGGTTACTGGAGATTTCCACTGCAAAGGAAATGGGTCACGGTGGATCCACTGAAGAGAAGACGTTAGTTAAATGAACATTGATCCTCCAGATAATCCTGTTAGGATTAAAATCACCAGCACTGTGAATGCAATTCAACATGGGAACAGAAAACGTTAACCATGTTTAAGACTGTACAAGCATACCTTTAGGGGATGTGTAACAATTGCCAAAAGGAACATTAACATTTTCTGGACAAGCTGGATGTCTGTACATTTAGTGTTTTTTTTTTCTAAAATGTAGAATAATTTTTCATTGGCTTACAGCATAGATATATGGAAACTACCTGAAATAGGCTTTTTCCAATTTAATTTAAGCTTTTGTTATATTTATGTATATTAAGTTGGATAAATTATGTGAGCACTGCTTTATTTCATTGATCTGTGGCTTGTACGTATGTATGTATATGTGTATATATGTGTGTGTGTGTGTGTGTGTGTGTGTGTGTGTGTGTGTGTGTGTGTGTGTGTGTGTGTGTGTGTGTGTGTGTGTGTGTGTGTGTGTGTGTGTGTATATATATATATATATATGTTCTCTGGGGCTTATTCCCACTTTCTCAGCCAATCAGAGGCCACAGGGAGAAAAAGCTGTTATCTAAAGTATAATGACTTTTAAAACAAGGCTACAGCCAGCCTATTTAGCTCTAATTGCATGTTTATGTTAGAAAGTTTGTCACTGTCATAAAAGAGAAGTTATTTTTGTAAATATATTTTTAACAAAACACATTCTAGAGTTTATGTGTGTTTTGTAGAAAGGCTGGACTATAATTTAACAACCACATCAAGGTAATAAGATAATCTTAGTTAGTCTGCTAATGATGAAAGGGAAAAACAGCTGCCAAACATAAAGCGGAAAACAACTGTTCATTGGCAAAAGTGCTCCAAAGTGTATATGCTGCTTATCTTGAATGTGTAAATATGTGTGACTCATAAACACTCATTATCATTTCAATATGATAAAAGCAAATATATTGATGGTAAACACGTAAAATAAGGCAATATATAAATCAAGGTTTCCTCTAGAAATACTGTCTGCTTATAAATACATATAAAAAACAACATCAAAATGCACATGATAAAGATAGACATGCTCTCAAATTATTTTATGCCATTAACAAACATGTGGTGCTAGAAAGGGCATCATAAATTCTGTGTGTATTATTTACTTAGGTGTACAATTTTAAAAGAAGGTGACTGTCCACCTAAAGTGCTTCATTTAGTGACTCTCTTTGCTTTGGTTTGCCTCATGCCCATAATTGTCCTCATGGACATAATTCATCCTGACAAAGTGTCCATTGTCTTTATTGAGGAATGCAAAATGCTTTAGTAAAGTCATCACTGATTTCAATTCAGTGTCAGAGCGGGGTTTCTGTCTGTGCCTTGTTTTTTGGCACAAAAGTTGAACTTCAGAATTAGTGTGCAGTGAAAGTGTGATCGTCCATGTGTTTACCCCCTGAACGGAGTCCTGCTGTCTCTGTTACCGCAGAGCTCCTCTAGGGGGCGCAGCAGGCTGTCCTCACGTGCTCGATAAGGCTGAGCGTAGCTGTCCTCCTCCAACAGGATGCGATTGAGAGTGCGTTCATAATTAATATGCCGTCGCAGCATCAACAGGTATTGATGCCCCTCCTGCAGAAAGGGACAGTCACATTTGTTGGGCGCCCACAGGAACTCCCGGTGCTCCAGACGATAACGGTTGCGGTATGTGTGGATGATTTGGACGTCAAAGCGGGTCTCCTCCCCATGATAGACTTTTTCCAGCACTTTTGCTCGAAATACTGTCACAGCAGACAAATGTATAGTCATCATCCAATATACTATGTATATTAAACCACTTGTATTATGTTGGCATTGGAGACATACTGATTGAACTCACCAAAATCTTTTTGGCAATACTGTCTCTGGCGCTCACCTTTCCCTCGTACCTGGCGACATTTCCCACAGCGGCCTACAAAAGGATGTAATGTATTCATGACATAACAAAAAAAGCCCTGACTTTGTCATCCATGCAAACAACAATTAACAAAGGGAATGAACAAGAAACATGATAATATGCAAATAACGGAAAACTATGTGTATTTCCGTAGCAAGTTTACACTGCAATTTTAAAAATGTAACATTGCCATTTGTGCAGTACTGGTAGTACCAAGTCACTTCAGTATCCGCTGATAAGACAGCTGCTTTCAAACACTCCTGTGCAAATGTATTTGTGTCAAGAGCTTCAGAGGTTTCTATTTGCAATGTGTCTTCTGAGAATAGCCAATCAAAGACATATGCACATCAATGCAATAGCCAATCAGAGGCATTCAAGTTAGACAGAAACCGCAGAATACCATTCAAAATGCTGGCATTTTGTTCAGCACAAAGTTTTTTGTTCTGTAGGCTAATGGAATCCCTTCAATGTAACGTAAACACTATGTAAATAAGAGATTATTCGTGCAGTATAGACAGCTTCATTGATTATAACAAGAGTTTTCGCAAGACTGCAGAACTGTGATCAATTTGTGCTGAAATGAGGTGATTGACAGCTTCAGTGATGATAAAGGGAGCACTATTTGCCCGCTTTCTGTATATGACCAATTCACAATTTGAATAAAAGTTTTACTTGCCATGCTGCTAAGTACACATTGCAACGTTTCGGAAGTGATAACCATATTTAAATGCAAGATTGACTCTAGAATTGCTGTGACATACACTAATGGCAATGATATAGCACTGACCTCTACGATGTATTTCAGGCAGTCGGTTCCTGCGGTTTTCATCTCTTTCCAAACGTGGGACTGGCTGCTGTTGATAGGGGGGTTGAAGAGGCCAGCGAGCAGCAGGATCTGAGAGCATGACCTCGTAAATCACAGTTGTATTTACAAAAGACTCCTCTTTAAGCTTTAAGCGACTGGGACATTTCTGCCAATTATTTCCCATCACACAGACTTCAAGCGTACTCAACATTAAATCTATACCTTTATAACTACCAAGTCTTGTCACTGCACAGATAAGATACTTCTAATACCATATTATACAACTAGTGTAATCTAAACAAAAGCTTAATAGATGTTATTCCTAAATATCAGGAATTAAAGATTTTTACCCCAGAAATGAGGTTTTGTGACTGGCTGTGTTGTAGTAGTGGTTGTGGTTGTAGTAGTGGTAGTCGTAGTGGTTGGAAGTTCAAAGGGTAAGTGGTTTGATGTGTGGTGAGGCTGCCGAAGTTGACTTCTCCCATGATACAGGGCATAGCGGTCTGGAGGCAGCCAGTACTCATATTCAATCCCAGAGCTCTTATCAGTGGACAAGACCTACAATCAGACCAGAACAAATTCACACTGTTGCACTGGCTACTAGGAGTTAATAATTGTGTTGATTTTTTTTTTTCAAGTTTGAACTGAACAAGTTTTTGTGTAATTTTAAAGGGATACTCCACCCCAAAATGAAAATGTTGTCATTAATCACTTACCCCCATGTCGTTCCAAACCCGTAAAAGCTTAGTTCGTCTTCGGAACACAATTTAAGATATTTTGGATGAAAACCGGGAGGCTTGTGACTGTCCCATTTACTGCCAAGTAAATTACACTGTCAAGGTCCAGAAAAGTATGAAAGACATCGTCAGAATAGTCCATCTGCCATCAGTGGTTCAACTGTAACGTTATGAAGCGACGAGAATACTTTTGTACACGAAGAAAACAATAATAACGACTTTATTCAACAATTTGTCTCCTCTGTGTCTCTCCGCATCACAGTAGCGCCATTTTGGAGAATATCCGCTGAACGCAAGCAGCGTATGCTATTCTGTGTCAACCGCGACACAAGGATATGTTTTCTACGTGTATTTATGCTTTGATTTGAACGAAAACAGAATAGAATAAAATCGAATAAAACAGAACAGTGTACGCTGCTTGCGTTCAGCGAATATTCTCCAAAATGGCGCTACGGTGACGCGGAGAGACACAGAGGATACGAATTATTGAATAAAGTCGTTATTTTTTTCTTCACATACAAAAAGTATTTTCGTCGCTTCATAATGTTACGGTTGAACCACTGATGGCAGATGGACTATTCTGACGATGTCTTTCAAACTTTTCTGGACCTTGACAGTGTAATTTACTTGGCAGTCAATGGGACAGTCACAAGCCTCCTGGTTTTCATCCAAAATCTCTTAAATTGTGTTCCGAAGGCGAACGAAGCTTTTAGGGGTTTGGAACGACAAGGGGGTAAGTGATTAATGACAAAATTTTCATTTTGGGGTGGAGTATCCCTTCAAAGCTAACCATGATGTGCAGGTCCTCCTGAGTTGGTCCTGGAACTTCGAAACTCTCCCAGGTATCAGCAGAGCGCCGATACAGAAGTTTGGTTCCTGCCACATTGTATTCCCCGGGAACATTGATCTTCCAGTTCCCATTGATCACAAACTGAGAGCGCCCATTCTGGAGTGCTTTAAAAAATTAATTGCAAAAAGTGATTAAAAAAAACAAAAAACATTGCACTACCACAACACAGCATTATTGTAATGCTCTTATATAGCAATCGGACAAATTGCACAAAGTTTTGTTACTGCAAGAACCTAGTGAAAAACTGCAAGTTCTCCAATATGTCGTTTTTATTGCGCCAATAAAGACAAAGTAAATGCTTTTTTCTGTAATCTTCTACAATGCTGTCTCAAACTGTGCACCTTGCCACTTTTGCTTTGAGAACCACATGTTGGAGAGATCACACACTGGACTGTGCTCTAACCTAGATAGTTTCTGCTGTTATCAGTCACTCTGATGTGTGTAGCTCCGGCCGGGATCATAGTGACCTCACTGTACCCAAACAGTCCTGCAGGAAAACAGATGAGAGAGTAATGCATCTCAGCCTCTTTAATAAAATAAAACACAGTTATTTCCAACAGGTGCGAAGTCCTGCATGGAACTGTATGTTTCCATGATGTGTCTTGCTGCAGCTGCAACATGGATTGGTGTGGCTGCAAGGCACTGAACTGCAGAATTATGACCCAGACTGGTTTTTCTCTTCTCCTTTGACTTTTGACCCTCTTTACAGAGCTCTGTGCTAGCAGCCTTGAATCTGTTATCCTACTCTCAGAAATCCAGATGCAAGAGAGTGGAAAACTGAGTATTTTTTGGGTGGCCAACCAATGGCTGTATTATTGCTGTGTTTTCCCCAATGTAAATGCTCTATATTTTCAGTTGGCCAGTGTGATGGAAGATTTTAAGAGATTCTGTTTTAATGTGGAGAAGTTCAAAGCCAGAAGCGTCAGTGTTCTAACCATGTAGATATGTGTGAGGGGGAGAGAGAAAGTGCAAGATAAATAAGAGAACGAGAGAGAGAGAGTCACCCAGAAACCACTACATTGTTTCAAATAAATGCTGTTCTTTTGAAATTTCTATTCATCAAAGAATCCAGAACAAATCAGAATTTCCACAAAAATATTAAGTAGCACAACACTGATGATAATAAAAATGTTTCTTGAGGAGCAAATCAGCATATTAGAGTAATTTCTGAAGGATCATGTCACACTGAAGACTGGAGTAATTTCTGCTGAAAATTCAGCTTTACATTTTAAAATATATTCAAACAGACAACAGTTATACAGTACTAAATTGTAATATTTAACAATATTACTGATTGTACTGTATTTTTGATCAAATCAGTGTAGAATTGATGAATACAAGAGACTATTTTCCAAAACATTCAAAAAATCTTATAGAAACTTTAAATTTTTGAACAGTGGTTAGGTTAAGAATTTCATGGCTAAATGCCAGATTTTACAGTTTGGAGGTCATTGTCCTCTACTCTGAAAAACAAGATTCATACAAGGATTCATTCAAACAAGATTCATGCAGTTACCATTTATTCACATCTCTTACATTATGTTTCAATAAAAATAGCGATTTCAAAGTCATTAGATTATATAAATCAGACTGAACATATTTGCTGAATTCTGATCTTATTTTTCTGTTCTGCTGTTTAGAGTCAGTGTGAGTGTAGTTAGATTCATTGCTGACCGTTGTTCTGCCCGTTGCTTTGATAAACACTTCTGTGATGAAGGCAGGTTGAGTTGTGGCCTCCACACACCATGCAGGCATCCTCCTGCTGCTCAGATCCAAAGATCAAGTCACATCCTGGCTTCTGCACACACACACACACACACACACACACACACACACATACAAACCCTGTGATTAGAAGCCAAAATATCAAGCACCGTCACATTCTGTTTTAACAGTACAAGCTGATCCCGCAACACTCCTGGCGAAAAACTGGAACAGCTTATGGCCCAGCAGAATTTTGGAGACCTTCCAAGAAATACATTTAGACACTACTAAAGAGTGAAGCATCCAAGATTAAAGACCCTCAAAATAAATGCATTATCTACTACACTAAAACTTGTTGTATCGTTGTAATAGCAACAACAATTTGTTTTCATCCGTTCATCTTGGCACAATATTTTCTGGCATTTGTAATTGATTTCATGAGTTTTCAGCGTTTCAACTTCTTTAATCATATGTATATTCAGGATGGATTAGGTGTAATGAACTGAACACTGCAAATTGAAATTCACTGAAGTATACATAATGCAGATTGCTGTTTATTTTTTGCTGTTTTTACTTATGCTGTTGTTGTGTTTATTTACAATTATTAAATGTCTAATCACTGTTTTGGAATGCATATAAGTGTGGGGTTGGTAAGTTTTTCTTTTTTTTTTTTTTAAAGAATTGAATACTTTTGTTCAGCAAGCATTTGTTAAATTGAAGTTCATGTAAATGTTTTATAATCTTACAAAACATTTGTATTTCAACTAAATGATGTTATTTTCAACTTTCTAACCTATTCATCAAAGAATCCTGAAAAAAAAAGTCTCCTGGTTTCCCCAAAAATATTAAGCAGCTCAACTGTACCAAATCAACATATTAGAATGATTTTTAACAGTAGTACATGTAGAAACAACAGAGCAAGATGGTGCAGAATGCTTCGTTTTTCAACATACACTGAAAAAAACAAAAAGCAAACAATATGCAATATTTCTGATATCAACATTTTGAAACTATATGAATAATTCCAAAACAATCTACTCCACAATATGGAGATCAAATAATAATAGTGGGTTGAATTCTTTAAACATGTTCAAAGACAAAACGATCTGTTTCCACCTCCACTATGTAAGTGTAACTCTAAAGTAAAGCTGCACCATCCACCGTCTCTGTGTGTGTTTGTGTGTGTTTTTAGGTCCACAGGTCCAAACAGATGCAGGTGAAAACAGACGGGCAGCAGAATGACAAAGATCTCTGTCTGAGCCACCGCACACAAACAAGAGCGGGATCATGAGGCCCGGGCAGGGATCAGGACCATTCAGGCAGAAGTTTGGCTTAAGCTCCAGAGTGCAGGGGTGGAGAAGGAGACATCAGGGGAGACTGCAGAGGTAGAAGGGAGGTGTGGAGGAGTACACTGTCCTCAGCAATTTCTGCAGGATATAATTAAGCCCCTCTTTCTCTTTAGACCTCCCGTGCATTTCACGCAGGTGCAATCCTCCTCCTAATATGTGACTTCGAGTTCTCACTCTCCTTATCTGTTTCTTTGCCTTTCCTTCCTTAATCTTGGTAGTTTGTGAAATAATGATTCTCAATGGCACATTCCCATGATTCGGGGGCCTCACAGAGGGGCAACCAGCAGAAGGAGAAATCCACACAGTAACACAACACATGCTTCAAAAGAGAAGAGTCATGCTTCACTGACCTCCATGAAAGGTAGTCCAACGGTAACTGCTGCCAGCGACCAGGGGTCTGTCATTGAAAGCTTTACACTGCAGTTCTCTGAAGTCCATAGAGTCAGCAGGACACTCCTGGTGTTACAGACGCAAAGCTCAGAAGAGAAAACACACATCTAAAGCTGCTAAAATCCTGATTCATTAACACTCTTAGAACAAGCCCTGGAGGACTCCGGATAAATACAACACATGCATCTGTGTGCTGACACAATGACCCCATTTAAAGCTGGTTTTAACATCTGTCCAGGGTGATGGGATCACAGGTGTAAGCAAGATAAAATATTTCATGATCTGATCACTCAATCCACATTCAGAGGTAGTCAGGAACACATATGTCCATATTGCATTTGTAGTGCAAGTGCTAATCCATCTCGATGTGTCCCAGACAACAGTGAAGGGCCGCTTACTCGCCTGGTAATCATCCATGTACTAAAACAAGGGTTAACATTAAAACCATTCTTTGTGGAGAAGTCCATACATATACAAGCTCAAGACTTCAGGGAACTTTAGTTTGCCTGACATCAATACAGTGACACAGATCATGAGAACCATGCACATCTAAAGTAAAATTAATACAGGGGATGAAACTTTTTTTGTTTGTTGGTATTTTATAATGTTAACATGCATCATCAACACAATGTGTAGTAAGTGATATATATAAAAAAGTGAAGTTATGAAATTGAGGACCATCCATTTAAAATCTGACAAGTTTGAGGGTGGATGACGTTATGTCCAAGCAAAAAATACATCAAAATACACTGTAGAATTAGATAACCAAATACATAAAAACTCTCGATATTTAGCACTAGCACGTTTAGGATAAGGTGTAGCTGAAATGTATTTCTATGTAGAAATCCTGTTCAAACAGTAAAGAATTTACTGCACCTTTGTGTTACAAATCTTGTATTGCCTGGTGTCCCCCAAGCACGGCCCTCCTACCAGATTTCTAAAGGGAGAAACAATAATCAAGCCTGATCAAGTAAAACACCATAAGGCTGTTTACACAGGATGCATTCTTACATTTTTCACTGTCAGAAAAAATGTGCAAAAACTGAACCTTTAGGGCTAAAACAGCTTGTCACTAGGGCAGTAATGGGACTTTACTGCAGCTTATCTGCCCCTAAATGGTGCATATTAGAGTACTTTTAATATACAACTATGAACCTTTTAGCAACAAAGCAATGTGCAGTGTGTTGAGATGAGATTGTATGCCTTTTATGGTCAAGAAGCTTACCTGGTGATGCAGGTGCGTGTACGGACAGACGCCCCTCCCCCACAGGAGCGCGAACACACAGACCAACCGCCCCACGAGGCCCACTCATTCATGAAATGTATTTGGCTATGCATCTGTGGTACCTCACCTCCCAGCTCTACTTGTCTGGATGACTGCAAATGTATAAACAAAGAAGTGAATTAAAGGTTGCCGAACAACAACACAGAGAGACAGCAGAGGTGGCAGATTTGATCAACTAAGTTGTGCTAAGAGGTTTTTTTGCAAGCTCATCCACTAGAACAATAGTATGTAAAATATATTTGTACTAAAAAAGTCATTTGATGTATGTCATGCACTAAACTAAAGGAATCCTGTGCTTACTGTGTAAATGATTGTGCATTAGTTCTCAAGACACATGAGAGGCCACCAAAATATTTCCTGCTCATCGGCTATGCTAGACTGCACTTGACATTTGTGGAAGTGTTTGAGTGTTCCCCAGGTGCTCGACTGAGCTCTATTACACACAGCCTCCATTACACAAGCGGTATTCCTATCAGACCACCACTAATCGTCTTCAAGGATAGCATTACTCTGTCATTCTTAGATCCGCTGCTGGCTTTGATCTGAGACAAACAGGCAGTAACAGCCTGTAAAGAGTGAGGAGCTTCTATGGGTTGCCTGAGGCCTAACATCTCCTCAAGGTGTATGTGTATTCTTGTAAATGTAATGTAGGTGTGGAGACTGAGCATGTTTTTCTGCTTCTATCATATTATACAACCTCATACAGAGCAGCTGTTTGTCTTTCTAAAATAATATTCCTCCACGGTATCACGTAAATCTAATTTAAGCAACTCAGAGAGTCACATGAGGTGTGTAAACACGTCGCAACAAAATGAAATGATTTCAGCATACAAACAGAGCATTGAACTTGCATTCCAAAGTTTGACCCCTAAAGGGATGTTTTAATGGCACATATATGACTGCTTTTTGGTCCAGAGCTTTGTACTGGTTCCTGAAATGAACCTTTCAGTGGAAATATTACAGAAAAATTAAGTTTGGTTTGACTCATCTAATAAGATTACCATTGCAGGGAGAAATGGAATGTGTGTCAGAATCTCCTGACCTTATTTAACCTAGAGACCTGTGGTGAATAGAGGTTTGGTAATGAGTGAGGATGTCTAGCTGTGAGGGTTAAAACGACAGATGACTGCACTCACACAGACACAATAGTGCTTTATGACCGATGTCCATCATCTTCAATACTGGGATGACCTGGAACTGCCCTCATTACCGTAGCAAAGACTCAAATTAGTGTTGATGACAGTCTGCCATGGGGCCCGTACGCAAGGCAGATTAATGAAATCGACCTTTCAACTTCAGAACACCAGCTTCCCCCCAAAGGCAAGATTTTAAAAAAGTATATTCTTGGAAAGAGTTTTTGAAAATGAAATTCCTAGTTCTGAAATGAACTTGTTGGCTTCTTGTCGATAGGTCCTGTTTGTGTTGCTTTAAAGGAGATGTGAAAGTCATTCCAGAGGAATGAAGATGATAATGACTGGTGGACAAGACCTAGCTTGGATCTTGGGAGAGAAGCTGGGAAAATGACTGGGTGAGGTCTAGAAGGCACCAAAGGCAGAGTAGTACATGCAGGCTTTCCCTATAGCTACCAGTGAAACTAAAAGGGCTAGATCACCCAAAAATGAAAAGTCTGTCATCATTTACTCAAATCAAGTCATTCCAAACTCATTAGACGTTCATTCGTCACTCCTAAATTAAGATATTTTGAATGAAACCTGAGAGATTGCTGTCCCTCCACTGAAAAATTAATTCCACCAAAACTTTGACGCTTTGGTGGAGACATCATAAGTAATCCATATGAATCAAATGGTTTAAAAGTCTTTTGAAGAGACACAATCACTTTATATGATGAACAGATTTAAAAACACACATATACATAAAAATCATCAAATATGGTAAAGGCAAGCTCAAACATGCTTGCTTGACAGTTTTATCATAAGTTTTGGATGAATGGACTTTCAATGGAAGGACAGAAATCTCTCAGGTGTCATTAAAAACATTTTAATTTCTGTCTTGAAGATGAACAAAAATCATACAGGTTTGGAATTAAATGAGTGTGACTAAACGATGGCAGAATTTTTTTGTTTTGTTTTTTTTTGGCTGAACAACAAAGAGAGAGCATGAGCCAAATGTCATGTTCTTCTTAACTGATAATTTCTGCAATGTGTATAAACAGCAAATCCAAAACAATACAGGGTGGCATCCCGGTCTCTGAACCCCTGAGGTGATCCTGCCCTGGTTGCTCTGAATAAGCTCCGCTCTTGGCAATCAACAGGAAAGACAGCACTCTAGTTAAAGTGAGCAAAACCTTGGCAGCGAGCCTTGCCGATCTGAGCATACCCAACTGACTGTTTTTGTCCCTAAAAATTCAGTTTAACTGCCTGACAGGACATTAAAGTTACTGTTGCAGATGGTCTATAAACAGAAGGATAATGGGATAGGGAACATCTTACAGGCAGAGAGGACAGGCAACTTGGAGACATCAGTAGTGTTATGAGGGTGAGGGCCTGGCACAGAGACAGTTTCCTGGAGACAGAGAAAATAAATCATGTAAGTCAATCACAAAGTCTTACACACCACCCTATTTGACTTTAAATTGGAGCCTGGACTACAGGGCTCACTGTACAAGTGTTGCTGCTCTACATCAAAGACTCTTGATTAATGACAACAAATAGTGACGGTGTGTCCTATACATTGAGAAATCACCGCCACTGAGAAAACATGTTTACGTGCATTTTTAGAGTATGAGTCTGACTCCCAGCAGTGAGGTCAGCATACTAAGAGACCACACAACGATTGACTCATCAAAGGAGCAGATTCTCAGAAACTCTTTACAGCTTTGCTAAAGCCCGACTGTCTTCTTTGTATTGTTGTAATGCCTATGAATTCAAAATTTGAGAAGTTTATAGGGGTAAACTCATGTAAACATGCCACAGTATTTCTTTCTCTATCATACATTTGTGTACAAACATTGTTCATCTTCCTAATCTTCTGTGAACATGGGCTAAGAGGCTTATTTTAATAGCAACCCAGAGTGGACACTGGTCAGTTATAAACAATACACTCCCATTAAGAACTGATTCAGAAGAGCAATATGATGAAATACATGTTCGTTTGATTACATGTGCATCTCTAATCATTGTGAATAAACACGATCAAAAGAGATACAGACTGTAAGTAATGCATCATGATTATCTAAAATAAAATTCTCAACAGTCCAACCTGCACTCAACAGTTTAGCATATTAGCTCAGTTTATTAGCAAGGTCAAGGGTCAAAAGGTCTATAGTTAAAAGACAATAATGATGTTCATTTAGATGGTTTTGACTGCTATAGCCTGAAGGTAAGAACATAAACCTATGCCTGTCATGAAAATGTGATAAAAAAAAAAAAAAACAATATGACTTTATCATTAATAATGATTTTAACTGATTGAAACTGATAATAAAAATGTTGAACAATAACACTATAACACTTGCAAAGTAACTGTGACTGAAATAAAATGTAGCTTTGTATAATTCAATTGCAACAAATAAAGCAAATGAGGATGTCTGAGATGATAAAAATTAAAAATGTTTGAAATATATAGTTTTCAAAGGGTCACATGACAAAAAAAAAATGGCTCCCTGTGTTGGTGCATTTTAACTAAATTTAAAAGGTAAGCATCAAATAATAATATAATTTTTGTAATCATTACGTCAATGACCCATAGATCTTAAGGACTCGAGTCTGTCCCAGGTTGTTTTCTTTGTTCTTTTCCATCTTCCCTTCAGCAATACAATAAAATCATCAACGTGTTTCCCCTCACAGTAGAGGAGCATGATCCACATACCTGTTGTTTGCCTTCTGCATTTTAGGTCTTCGTCAGGTGTCACAAAATAACTTTTTGAGATCTGAAACTGGACTCATCTGATAAAGTAAAGACCACGAGATGTGTGATCCCAGTGGTTTTTATCATCAAAAAAATCGGGAAACCTAATTGCATCCATGTTTCACAAGTGTTTCCCCTGCTGGGTACTTTTCCTGAAGTTTCAAACACGAAGAACCCAAAGAGGATTACCTGAATCCTACATAATCCTGAATAAAAAAAGAATCATTGAAAGTAAATATAGGCTACTTCACGTCGTCCCCGCTTATTTACATTACGGTCCTTCTCACTTTCCAAGGTGCTGTTTCATAGAGCAAACCTCTGAATCGCTTTCAGTTTCATATCAGAGTGTCCAGCGTCCGATCTCACAGGAAGGTCTGGTTATAAGACTTCAGATCTGCTGTCTTCATGTGGCTTTCTGTGAACTCTACCTGAGCCTCTCAGCACACACGACATCCGTGTTCCTTGAGAGAAAATAACGGCTCTTCGATCAGGACACTTGGTCCTCCTGTAGATTTCACATTCTGTTTCAGATTCACATCAGGCGCTGAATATCATCTGAGAAGAGATATAATATTGCGTTTGTCCTAATGTTATCGTTGCACAAACGTCATGTGTCATTACATCCAAAAACTCAACAGGATATATTTTCTTGATAATAATAATAACAATAACAACAACAACATTTCTATATATTAGCATAATATATTATCGTTAAGTTAAATCACGTTTAATTGCTGCCTTTTTCCCCCAGTAAAATCAAGGTAACATAAACCACTTTGAGTGTAATTACTGATAAAGAAAACCAAGTCGAAACTCTAATTAGAAATGACAGAAATTATTGTGGCAAGAGGGAAAAGATGAAGCTACATCATAATGATTTTTTTTTTTTTTTTTTGACTGTACACATTTCGTTTTAGGCTACAGAGCATCCTCTGTGAGAGTAAAAATGATTTCAGATGACAAACAAAACATATATAAACGCTGCACGCATAATAAAGTAGTAGTGAGTTACCCGTCAAAAAGCAGCGTCTGTGATGATCCGGCGTATGTAAATAAACTACGCCAGCCAGAGTTTGTATTAATGTGAATGAGAGCCGCAGCTTTGCGTGCCGCCGCGTTCACCTGAAGCTCAGCCCAGTGTGTGCCTACATTCCGATGAAAAACTAGTAAACACGCCCCTCTTAAACGGAATGTTGCCCAATCCAGATTGTAAATGCTCCAGTAGCTGTAGTTCATGCATGTAATAAATTGTCCTTGTATTGTGAGCCTTAAAGTCCTCATGAAATCAAAATTAAAGTTTTCTGGGTGTTAGTATCAATATGTTAGTCTTAAGGTTATCTATAAGGCAGTGTGCTCCAAAACAGTGACAAAATCCGCATTTAGAAGATATAAGCATTCAAAGCTGGCAGTTCGTCACTTCAGTCAAAACGGCTCAACGATTTTTTTGACGTCACATCGTACTTCAGTTTCTCATCAAACTTTCTGTCCAATCAAATGCTCTCTAGAATCCGAAGCGCCCGCCCCCTACACTATAAATAGACGCTGAAACCGCGGCTGAAATCGGTCACTTGTCCACAGAATTAGTATTTTCTGTACAGTGAATGGCACGTAGTGCACTATATAGGGGACAGGGAACGATTCAAACAGTGTAAATATGCTTTCCATTGAGGAAAAAAAGAAGTCTGGTTTCGCGCTGTGTCACGCGGTTCACATGCGCGAGTGCCACAAAATGTATCGGAGCTATTTGAATTCTACACAGAATGCTATATTTTATAGCAATATGGATGAGATTGTGGCTGGCATACCCTGTCAAATGCAGCTTTACGGAGCTCAACGGCTCCGAACGACTCTAGCCCAAGCTGTGATATAAACGAACGCTATTGGCTATTTTAAAAAGGGGCGGGGCTGCTTGATATGTCCCGCCCTGTCTTCCTGTTTCAGTTAAAATGACGTCAACACAGAGTAACGCTGCGTGTTTCTAAGCATTTCAGGGGACCTTTAAGTTACAGAATGTTTAAATAAATTGAAAGATGTGCATGCCATCAGACTATGAATTATAAAACAACTTCCAGAGGGATTAACTTTTTAAATGGATTTTCTATAGGTAATTTTCAAGGCTCAATCTGTTGAGGCTGGTCTTGTGGAAGTCAACTTGTCTTTTGGCACTGCTGGCACAGTTGGGCTTTCAAAACAAAATACGTTTAGGTGATCTTCATGTGACATATAACTCTATTAGTGAAACAACAGGAATACATATTGAGATTTTATCAATACTGTCCGTTACTGATGGAAGGAAAATCGCTCAGCAGCAATCATGTCTAAACATAATGGTAAGATAACCTGTGTAGTTATTGAAGTGTTGTTTGAAACATTCTTCATGTTGTGGATGACAAAAGGCAGATATGATACAAATTATTGGAAATTTGTTACTGTTTTCTAGATGTTTAGAAATATCACACTGACAATGACTTTCTCAACAAGTAGCTGTGGTTATATTGAGCTCTCCTGCAGACTCCAACCTTGGCCATGGAAACAGTCCCTAAAATAACTCCATATCAGCTGCAATGGATCATCACATACAAACCACAGACCCAGGCGATGTTATGTCTCTTGTCTTTGGTTCTTTCATTAAAAAAAGAAAAGAAAGCAATGCCAACTCTACTAAGCACTTTACCAGAGCATGATGATAAAGTGCCCCAGAGCCTCGAATGGCAAGTTTCAGCTTGCAGAGAAATGTCTTTAGCAAGTGTACCACATCTTTATGCTCCTCAATGAACATAGTCAACCTCTGATTCACAGCCACTGAAAGGGATAGTTCACCCAAAAATGAAAATTTTGTCATTTCCTCAGCCTGAAATTGTTCCAAACCTGTATAAATTTCTGTTGAACACAAAAGAAGATTTTTTGAAGAATGTTGGTAACCAGCAACTGTGTGGTTACCATCATTCTTCAAAATATCTTCTGTGTTCAACAGAAAAAAAGAAACTCATACAGGTTTGGAACAACTTCAGGGTGAGGGAATGACGATGATTTTGGGGTTTTTAATTTTTTCACTTTAATCTCTATATAGATATGAAGATCACAGTCAGCATTTTTAAATTGTATTGCATTCAAGCATACATATTTCAATTGTAAAAACAGTCATTCATTGATTTGATGGAGATTTGTGCGATTGCTCAACAACATGTTTGACAAGCAGTCCCAGCGGTGTCCTTAATGATAGCAGATGCTGCAGTGAACAGACCACAGTGCATCTTCTGGTTTGTTCACCTTCACTTGTGTGTGTATATACTTTCATATTTTTATTCATTGTTTATTTCTCCAGGTCATGAGTGCAAAAGTCTAATGAAGAGACATCTAAACACATAAATCACTCCATATACAAGCATCACATTCAAGCATATATGACTGCTGTGTATGATATACAAACAGCAGCCAGTTTACACATTATCTCTTGATGAAGATATATCTGTACACAACTCTTCTGTATTCAGCAAGTGCAAAGTTTAATAGTTGCCCTGGCAACCTGACTAGCCTTCAACTTGCACGCTGTTTATTAGTGGCAGTAGTGATGTATCCCACAGTGCAAATGAATCCATTCCGTGTGCAGTTAGGTATGCGAGAGTGGAATGACTGCATGGTGAGGGCTATTTTGCGATAGGCCTTGTGAGCCAGATAGCTCAAATGTATGAGAGTTGATGATAACATGTCTCTGGAGGATTGACTCCCTCCTGTACACTTCACTTATGACAGCTGCTCTAAATGGTTTATGCCAGATGTGGTGGATGTTTGACAGGTAACAGCTACTAATATTATAGGCAGGTGTTCTTTCTATTATTCCCTCTCAAAATGCATAATATTTAAGCTTTACAAACAAGGGACAACAAGAAGGCATGCTTCATTCCTAGTAGTGAGGAACAGAAATCCACTAATTGTGTGTTGACAGATCGTTACATGACATCTTTTAGCTCAGAGAGCACTTACCCCAAACAATGTTCTGACTTAAATTGAGTTTAATAGGAAAATTAACAAGCACGTCAACTATTTTGACCCAGCAGGTATTTCATAGGAGGCTCTGCTCATCACAATGTAAACAGCTGAGTGATTTGGAATGAAATCTCAGAGAATCATCAGCTAAAGCTTAAAATATAGAACAGCTGCTTAGTAGCTGGAATAATCTCACAGTGTGAAAGCCCAGAGGGCAGCAGATGTTGCATTGTGTTATATGGAGCTGCATGAAGTATACATGCTATATTAGGTGACTTGTTCCCTCAGTCAAGTGGAACGCACTTTAGTGGAGGTGGAGACTGCACAGAAAAGAAGTGCTTAGGGAAGTTTGTGAGTGTGTGTCTAAAAGCAAAGTGGAACACACCCCTGGTCCTGCAGTGCAGAGTTCCTTTGAAACCCTCCACCTCCCCCAGCTCCACCTGTCCAGATCTGCTATGGGTAATTTCTTGTATGCTATTTGCACTGCAGTGCCATGGCTACATGCTCACAGCAGCATGGCTGTGCAAACTATATCCCAAGAGTTGTCATGATAAACTATGGAGTTCCCCTCCTTGATTTTATCACTGATTATATCAGGCATCTTTGTACAGAGATTTACTGATAACACTCTAGGACAAATAAACACAAGTTCAGCCATTCCACCACATTTTCTTATGTGAGGTCCTTGAGAAACACAGTAGTCTGACATACAGGAAAGGAAGGGGACCTGAGGAGATTGGGGTGAATAAACGGCTTCTGAGTATCTTCATAAAACAGTGTTTAAACACAGCTGTGCTCTGACTCAACAAAAGGTCAAGTCAATGATTACACAGTATCAGTGTTTGTGTCTGTAGACACTTTTGTGCGAGATGATCCTCTGTTAGCATGTTGGTCAGTTCAGTTGGCTGTATCTTAATCACAATAATGGGTTAAATCTGCCTGTTTTGTCATAACATGCAAGACCTGTAACAATGCTAGCATGAAATGAAGTGGACTTCCTACAAAGAAAGAATTTAGCAAACCACAAAAGTAAAAATCTTTAACAGATAACTGGATTGATTATCTTAGGAAAGTAACATCTTTCAATTTAATTTATTTCCCATAAATATCAGTTAAATTTAGTATTAAGTACACAACTGCAAGCACTTCCAGGGAATTATTTTTGTGGTTGTTAGCTGATCCTACATCAGTGTTGGCTATTTCTGGTACCACTAAGCCAATATATTGTAATCCAAGAACCCAGAAGCAGCTGGATGACTGCTAAATTTATGCCAGTGAGTGTTGCTGTTTGAAATAAAAGTTATTAATGGACTTGCTGTTGTTACTGTGTGTTGAGCTAACAGTCACAAACACAGTACTTTTTTTTTTGGATACTATTGAGAATGAAACAGAAGTCTGAAAAAAAAGCAGTCATGTCCAACTGGATTGATTATCTTAGGAAAGTAACATCTTTCAATTTAATTTATTTCCCATAAATATCAGTTAAATTTAGTATTAAGTACACAACTGCAAGCACTTCCAGGGAATTATTTTTGTGGTTGTTAGCTGATCCTACATCAGTGTTGGCTATTTCTGGTACCACTAAGCCAATATATTGTAATCCAAGAACCCAGAAGCAGCTGGATGACTGCTAAATTTATGCCAGTGAGTGTTGCTGTTTGAAATAAAAGTTATTAATGGACTTGCTGTTGTTACTGTGTGTTGAGCTAACAGTCACAAACACAGTACTTTTTTTTTGGATACTATTGAGAATGAAACAGAAGTCTGAAAAAAAAGCAGTCATGTCCACACACAGTTTCTGAATGACCTGTGGAAAAGGTTCTCACCCCTTTGTTTATAATACTGGGTGGCAAATGAATGACGAAACCTGTAGTGTGTCCGGGAAGTGGACGTAAATCAGCTCTTGCTTACTTACTTCCCAGACTTCTAAGAAGAACGAGACATTCATCAGGAAAAACACAGATTTCAGAGGACCTGCAACAAGTTCAAAATTAGTCCAGCTAGACTGAATAATTAGCCATGATCAAACCTCCTTTAAGTCAGTGATGCAGTGAAGTCCCTTTAAAGCTGAATAATGGTAACAATGAACCACAGAGCACATTGATTCACTCAAGTCAGTCACAAATTAACAATATGTAAGAGATCCACTAC